CCGGGCGGGCTCCAGCAGCGTCAGTTCGAGCAGCGTAGCGGAAAGCAGCAGCGCCATCGCGAGCGGCCCGACGGCCTCCAGCAGCGCGAACGCGAGCGGCGCAACGGGCTCCAGCGTCAGCATTGCGGGCAGCACGACGGACTCCAGCAACGCGATCGTGAGCAACATGACGGATTTCAGCTGCAGCACCGTGAGCAGCGCGACGGGCTCCAACGACGCGTCCATGCGCAGCCCGACGGACCCCGTCAAAACCACCGTGAGCAGCATTATAGATTCCAGAAGCATGACCTGCAGCAGCGTGGCAGACCCCGACATCATCGTGGACAGTATTGCGGGCTCCAGCAGCACGATCGCGAGCAGCAGAACGAACTCCAGCAGCGTGACGGAATCCAGCATCGCGACCGCGAGCAGCACGACGGATTCAAGCCTTACTCTGGAGATTTGGGGGCCGCAGGAGGCCCTCGCGCAAGCGCGCCTCATGGGGCGCTGCATGGGGGCGCCCGGCTCGTCCAAAGCGCTGCTGATGAGACCTGCGGCGACGGCGGTATCAGGAACCAGGGCGGGGTGAACGGCGACAGTAGCATCGCTCAGCCTCCTCCCGCCCGCTCGCCGTCCTCTCCAGGGGGGGCCGTGCCGCGCGCGATTGCCGCGGTCAGTGGCGTACTTGGCGGCGAGTGCCACGTCGGAATCTGGTGGGCCTCCTCCGAAAGGACCCAGGCGCGCGGAGGTGCGACCGGTGGCGCTCCTGGGCCGGAGAATCGTGGAGGTGCTCGCCCTCCACCGCCCCCGCCTCGGGCGCGTCCCTGCCTCGTCGCCGCGCGGCGGATCTGCTTAGGAAAACGCTTGCCTCCTCGTAGCTCGAGCAGGCCTCGTCCGTGGCGACGGGCTATTCCCGGTAGGCCAGAGCGCCCCGCCCAAGGTTGCGATGACGCGCTGGCCCCTCCAACTGTTCGCGCTGCAGTGGAGACGAGGGCGGTGCGAGGAGGCCGATGGCTCCGACGCTTGGGCCGCGGCGACGTGCGATGCGTGTGGCGACCAGGACGACGACGCGCGGCTCGACCTGGGCATCTACGCTGCCTGTGTCCACGGCACGCTGCTGGACTGTCCGCGGCCCCGGGGCTCTGCCGCGCTCGGCCCTTCTTGAGTGTGAGCTCCCGGCTTGGCCCGCGCGATTGGCCGGCCCAGCCTGGAGTCCGCTGCCGCGCCAGCGGGGGTCTGATTCTCGGCGCCGTGTGCGGGGCGCCAGGCGAACCCCTTCACTGCAGCTGCTGGCAGGCTGCGCCGGTTGTTCCTGGCGTGGCGGGCCGCCCGGTTCGCGCGACTTCCCTCCCGGGGATGAGCGCCCCTGGAGGGGGCGGCCAGGCATTGGCGCAAGTCGACGCGGAGACCGCTGCGCCCTTTGTCGTCTCCGAAGGGGCAGTCGCCGCCGCTATCTGCCGCCTGGTGGATGGAGGCCGGTGCGCGCCCCTGCTGGGCGAAGAGGGCGCTCCCGCGGCGGGGGGCCAGGTTGGGGAGGCAGGAATGGTGCGCGCGGGCCCCCCGGGCCCGGCCTTGTTTTCGCCGTCTGGTGCGCCGCCCGCGCTGGCGGCGTGCTGGGTGGCCCTGCAAACCCGGGCCCCCCCTGGTGGCGGCCGACGCTCCGCTGTCGCCCGGCCGCGACGGCGGCCGAAGTCTCGGCCCGGGCCGACTCTGCTCGGCGCCTCGACTCGGGCGACGACGACCACCGCGACGCCGGCGATGTCGCGGAGAAGCAGGACGCGGAGGCCTTGGCCCCCCTTGCGCACGTGCCCGCGCCTCGCTCGACGCGCCGACAGCCCTCGGGGCCGCGACCAGCCGCCGAGTCCTGCGCAAACCCCGCCCATGGCGTCGACCGACGTCCCCTTTTCGGCCTTGGAGCTGATCGCCCGCGCGGGCGGGGCGGCCCCCCGTCTGCCTTGCCCTGGGGCGCGCAGCGATGGGCCGGGACGTTGAGACAGCCGCGGCAGGGGGCGCAGACAAGCTGTGCAGGCGTCCCTGCGGGCAAATCCAGTGGCATCCTCCTGTTGGCGAGACACCTGTGGACTTCGTCTAACTGCTCCAACGCGAGGCTGGGTCTGCAATGGTCAGCGATTGGCGCGCTTTCTACGCGGCACGGGCGGGGTCAGGCGGCGCGTCGCCTCCGACCCTGGGAGGCGGTCAGCTGTCCAATGTGCGGCCTTCCTTCAAGGGCATGCGGCCGCTGGACACGACGTTGCACAGTGGGCCGAGCGAGTGGGCGCGGCGCTGCCGCGGCGCTGGCACGGGGTGCGTCCCGCGGGCCCCATTGGGGACCATTGGCCACAAACGCGGCCTCTGCGTGCCTGGCCCCAGGTCCCGGTTCACTCTGCGTCTGTGTATCCCTGGTCGCCTCTGTTGGAGGAGGACGGCGCCTCCCCTGTGGCCGCAGTTGGACTCGCCCCGGAGTGCTGGTCCGGTTGCCCCGTCCTTGCCCGGCCCTGGTTCTCTTGGCACGTGCGTGTTTCGGCCGAGCGTGCGTCGGCTCTCGCCGCCCTGACAGTTCGTGGGCGCATCTCACCCTCGGCGGTTAGCCAGCGGTAATGGCCCGGCGGCGGGTCCGCCGGCTGGAGGCCAGAGGTGTTCGGACTGGGGTGTCCGGGGTTTGGTCGGGGATCCTGGCGCGCGACGGGGGGGGACTCGGGTGGCGGTTCGCCGTCTGGTGCGGCTCGGGGGACCCCGTCATCCCAGTTGGATTCGTTCAGGATTCTTGGTCGGAGCGCATGGTGCCCAGCCTCGCCCTGTCGCACTTTTCGGGTCCCAGGTCACTCCGAGGTGCTGGCAGCACGGCTGGATACTGATGCTCTTGCATGTGCGGCGATCAGTCGCGAATCTGACCTGGGTGCCATCCTCGCCCCGTCGGAACCTGTGAACGTTGGCTCACCGAGGGGCTCCGACCTGGGCACTGGGCTGGCCGATGTGCCACTTGTGCTGAGGATTGCTCCCCCATGTCCCGTCGACGAGAACGCGCTGGCGATCGGTGGCGAACCGAAGCTGGGCCCGGTGCCGCCCACCCGGGGTGGGAGCAGAGCCGCGCGTCACCCTAGGGAGGACCACCGCGCACCTGGGGGCGACCTGGGAGCCAGGCGTCATAGCGCCGTTCGTAGCCACGAGCACTGCGCAGGCGAGGGTTCAGCAGAGGGCGCCCGGTCGAGGTATCAGCGAGTCCCACTGACATTCGGGTGAATGCCAGTGACGACTGCACTCGTGCCCCAAGTCCAGTGGCACAACAAATTGTTCGGGTCGCCCTGGGCGTCGATGCGGTGCGACGCGCGGCGTCGCCGGACCGCGGAACGACTCTCCTGGGTCGCTCCGTGGGCACGGCAATGCTTGCTCCCCTTTTTCCACCCGCGGGTGTGACGATCAGTCGCGGATGTGTGGCCCTGGATGGAGCGAGCGTCGGTCACGCTCGCGCGCCTGAAGGGGCCCTCGCATGTCAGCCAGCCCCCGTGGGGGGCAGTCCTGGGAATGACAGGCCCAGCGGGTCGCTGGAAGACATGTGCACCGCTGATGCTTTCGCTTGCCATCTCTGGTAGTGCCCTGGCTTCAACATGTGCTTTTGCACCGATCAGGCGCGTTGTTTCTTCCCTTCGGGTGCGCCATCCACCCCAGGTGGTGCGCCCTCCCGCCGTTCCGCCTTGTTGGGAAGCTGCGCTCGCCTGCAGCTTGGCGGCCCTGGTGCGGTGCGCGCGCCGCCCGCGTGGGCCCCGGGTGCCTCCCGTCAGCCATGCTCTTGCGCAAGCCCGCCCGTGGTGCGTGCAGACAGGCGCTCAGCTGCCAGCCCGTATTGGGTGCCGGCGCCACTGCGCCCGCCGACGCAAGTCTGGGTGCCGCCTGGGCCTGCTGCCGCGCCTCGGCTGGCGATGGTTCTACAAGCGTGGCTGGTTGCTTGTGGGCCTGAGGTGGTGCTTGCGCCGCCTGCGCGGGCGCGCCAGCCTGCCTCCTGGCAGTCGCGCCCCCAGGCCAGCCATCCTGGGCGCGTGCCAGGAGGCGCCCTTCTGCCACCCCACCTGAGCGCCCGCGCTGCTGCGTGAGCTGCCCCCCTGTTTGGATGGCGCTACGGCCTGCTGCCTGGCTACCGGCTGGGGCCAGCCGCCCCCTTTTTCGCCTCCCCGCGGCCTTTGCCGCAGGGGGGGCCCAGGCGGCAGCCGCCATTATTGTTTAGACTGCCAGAGCCACGGCCACTTTCATTGCCACTTTCAGTGCCGTTCCCACTGCCACTGCCACTGCCACCAGCACTCGCACTAGCGCTTGCACTAGGACTAGCACGAGGAACACTAGCACGATGAGCAATAGCACCAACATGGAGTCGACCACTAGAATTACCAGTATCCTTAGCACCCTGGCACTGGCTCTAGCGCGGGTGCTACCACTATCCGAGCTACTAACACCAAACCCTCGCACTCGCACTCGCACTAGCACTTGCAATCGGAGTAGCATTAGCACTGGTAGTAGCAGTAGCACGAGCACTAGCACTAGCACTGGCACTTGCGCTGGCGCTCGCACTGGCACTGGCACCAGCGCTTCCATTACCACGATCACTAGCTCTAGTACGAACCCTGGCACTAGCGCTACGGTGGGGCGTTGATTAAGGAATGTGGCTAGGAGGCTTCAGACCCTGGAGGATTCCTGATCTGATGAGGGCGGCGGTGAATTCCATGGCCAATCCACGATTGGAGTTTCACTGGCTTCCAGACCCTGGGTTCCTTATCCAGCCGTCCCTTATCTAATGCCCTTACCGTAGACCTAGCCCTAGCACCGGCACTGGCACACAGCACTTGCACCATCATTGGAGTTACAGTGTTTTCTACCACCAGCGCTGGCACTAGCACCATCACGCTCCCCCACCACTATCACATCGGGCCTGTGTCTGGACGTTGCAGTGCTTTCTCTCCTGAGTTTTCCGTTTGCCCAATCTCTTTCGCATGGTTTCTCATTGCCACTTCTTTTTGGCACTTGGCGTGGAGGGCTCTGTCGACCTCGACGCCGTGGCGGCTTCCTACCAGCAGGATTGTCCAAGCTTCCATATCCTTCGAGGTGTGCGGCTGAGGCTCAGGTATCACGCTGGTCATAGTGCGTGTGGGCACAGTTTCTTGTGTGTTCGTCTGACAGCGTTTTCGACTCTGATCTGCCCCTCTCGAAGCGACGTCTGCTGTGCAATGTCCTTGCGCACTCTTTTCGCTTCGATCTGGCATGGCGCACAATTGTGAGGGCAACGGGGGCGAGGAAGATATGCGTTTGCCTTTCGTCGTACATTGCTGGCGCGGACCTTTGGGTGGGGCAAAGCGGGGCGGTCCTTAAGAGGGCAGAGGGCTTTTTCGAATGGATCGGGAGTATCGGAATCCACGAAGTCGAGCTTGCTTGCAGCCACACCGGGGCAATCTGGGTACCCGGAGGTCACCGCAGTGGCCCCGAAGGACAGAATCGATGCTCTCGGTCCGCCTTGGGCCTGGGCGTCCATTCGGCGCGCTGTGACGGGCTGCCATCGCAGCGCCCCTGCAGGCTGGGTTTGACTCGCACTGTCGCGCGATCGACCGCACGCAATCGTGCAGGCGCAGCTAACACTTCATCGCGCTCGCGAGCACCACGGAGATCCGCAAAAATGATTTTCTAGCCTCTATGCTGGCATGATGGGGTGGGTATAAGGCGGGGTAGAAGGAGATGGGGGGGACGAGATAGGGGAGGAGAAGGAGGAGGAGCAGGAGGATGAGCAGGAGGAGGAGGAGGAGAAGGAGGAGGAGGAAGAGCAGGAGGAGGAGGAGGCAGAGGAGGAAGAGGAGGAGGAAGACGAGTCTAAATCCAAGAGTCATTAACGATGTCGTAATTTTACCCCCTTTCCAAGTTCCAATTTAATAGGTGCCTGCCAGTTTTTGTTTGCATTGTTGGAAGTGTGCCCCATTGGAAGACCACCGCTTGAGAATCCTCAACCGGATCAACGTGATTGTTGCATTTTGATAATCCTACATCGTGCCAGGACATCCGTCGAGGGACTTCAACGCCGAATGAATGTGGCATTTGCGTTCTGACGATCCTGGGTCATGCCAGAAAACCATGCGTGGAGCTTCGACAACGGGAATTGAAGTGACTATCCCGTCCTGACAATCCGAGCCCCCTGCCAGACCACCATGTCTGAGACTTCACCCACACGAATCTTCGAAATTGTTGCAAACGTTTAAGGCGAATGTGCGCAGTGCTAAAGCAAGAACCATATTTTGAAAATGAACCGCCCTCTTGTTCGAACCTGTTGCGCACTTTTGAGACGGATATGCGAGGTGTCAAGACGAGACCCGCATTTTGAAAGGCAGCCGCCCTCCATCCTGGAAGCTGTTGCAAACTTTGAAGACGAATGTGCGTGGCGCTAAGGCGAGAACCGCATTTTGAAAACCTGCCGCTCTCCATCCATGAAACTGTTGCAAATTTCAAGCTTCAGGATCATCAGTGGTGAGGGGGTCTCAGGCGAGTTGTCCGGCCCACCCTACCGACACGTCCGGGGGCGCGACAGGGAGGAGTCGTTCACAAGGACAAGGGATGGAGAAGGAGGATGAGGAGGGAGGAGGAGGAGGAGGAGGAGGAGGAGGAGGAGGAGGAGGAGGAGGAGGAGGAGGAGGAGGAGGAGGAGGAGGGAGGAGGAGGGAGGAGGGAGGAGGAGGAGGGAGGAGGAGGGAGAGCAGGAGGAGGAGGAGAGGAGGAGGGAGGAGGAGGAGGAGGAGGAGGAGGAGAAGGAGGAGGAGGAGGAGGAGGAGGAGGAGGAGGAGGAGGAGGGGGAGGAGGAGGGAGGGGGAGGAGGAGGAGGAGGAGGGAGGAGGAGGAGGAGGAGGAGGAGAAGGAGGGGGAGGAGGAGGAGGAGGAGGAGGGGAGGGAGGAGGAGGAGGGAGGAGGAGGAGGAGGAGGAGGAGGAGGAGGGGGAGGAGGAGGAGGAGGAGGAGGAGGAGGAGGAGGAGGAGGAGGGAGGAGGGAGAAGGAGGAGGAGGGGGAGCAGGAACAGGAGGACAATGACCCGGATGTCCAGACGGAGGAGCATGAGGAAGGGGAGCAGGTGGAGGCGCGGAGTGCCGAGTTCCAGCCGCTGTCCCGAGGATTGTGCTCCCGAGGGACCTCCGCGAGCGAGCTCAGTTTGCGCTGGACCTCTCGGGGTGTCGGCGCCGATCGGGGGGCACCAAGCATCCCCGTGCATTAAGTCGGGCCCGTCCCTCTACAGGAGGAATATTCAAAAATAGTCAAAAAATAGTCTGGGAACTTTTAGTGGGGTATTTTTTTGGACCATTTTGGTATATTTTTTGAGTATCTTTTATTTTTGGTCGAAAATCCCCCTCCCTGTAGGGGGACACGCCCGACTTAACCCTTGCACCAGCCCTGGCAAGGCCAGATCCTGGCTCCAAGGTCTTGGCCAAACCGATACGGCATGCCCACGTAGCCCGCAGGGTCAAACACGTGCTGGACAAAGACCCGTGTGGGTGGTGAGTCGGCACCCCTCCCCAGACTTGCGATGCCGTGTGTTTCCTGCCACGATGTGGGCACCCAGAGCCCTCGACCACGTCCTCAGGAACGGTCTTCCGCTGCAGGCCGTGTTGCGCGGGGCCCCGATCTGCCCCGACACATGGCCGCGGGAGAAGCCCAGAACGGTGGACAGATCCCGCTTGTTTGTGAGTCTTGTGTGTGCAGCGCGCGCCGCGGCCGCTCTCCATCTTTCTACTGGTGCAGGTGTGCAAGTTTGCTGCCACACAGCCCTTCGTGCTTTCACGCCGCCGTTCGCCTCAATGCTGGCACCGCGCGCGCGACGCAGGCCGCCGCCCCGCCCAAGCGCGGCGCGAGGAGACCGGCGCCTCCGGCATCGAGGCCGCCGGGGTGGCCGCGGACGCGCTGAACGCGGCCCTGCGAGCGTCCCTCTCGGGAGCCCCCGCCCATGTCCACCGCCAGAGCACGCGGTCGTCGACTCGGAGTCGCGCCCTGGAGAGGCACCTCGGGGACCTCTAAAGTTGGAGGTGGGGAGAGGAGCGGGCTTCAGCCCAAGGTCGGCTCATAGCGCGGACCCAGCTTGAGACTGACTTTTCTCTCCTCCGAGGGCTCTTCGGAACGCTTTTCCTCCAGCCTCAACTCTGGCCCTGGGCTACCTTTCCGCCCCCCTGATCGAGGAGCTGTGCTTTCGGACATGTGCATGCCCCGTGGAGGGCGGGAGCGTGTCCATGCCTCGCCGCCCCCAGGGATCCAGAGCGGGGCTCCAGTCGCCGTGGATGCGTGCGTTTCCTGGTAGCGCCCCCCTGCAGTCGTCGCCTTCGCCGCCGCCGCCGTCGTTGCCGTTGTCGTGACTGTCGTCGCCGCTGCTTTTGTCTGCCCCTGCAGCCGCGCCGACGGCGGGGAGTGATGATGAGGATGAGGAGGAGGAGGAGGAGAAGGAGGAGAAAGAGCTCGCTCGCTCGCTCTCTCCCACTCAGGTCAAGCTCCAATCTACATCGGGAACCTGGGGGGGAAATCGACTGGTCGCGATCGACCCTTTGCTCTGCAAATCTCGATAAACGAGCACCGTGCGACCCCGATGGGGTCGGCAGACGACCTACTGGGAGGTCGCTGCACGGGAGGCTGGCCAGGGCCCTATCAGGCCATATGATTCGCCTGAGCCGATCTAAAAACATAACACACGGCAGCCCCTGAAGGCTGGGTAACAACAACAAGAAAACCGCAATCTACTTGCGCTTTGGTATGATCTTGCGCGCTAGGTTGCCTCTCGGGGCCTTACTCGCTTTCGTTTTGCCTCCTGCATGCCTCACGATCTCCCCTATCAAGGCCTCAACCTGAATCACGAGGCCCTTCGTCTGCATCATCAACGTCGGGTACTCGAGAGGCGTCAGCGCATGGAGCGGATGGTGCGAGTCTGGAAGGGCGGCCAGCATGGCCTGTCGGTCTTCCGTCTTCCTCGCTGTCTGGCCCCAGTATCTGACCGAGGAGCTTGAACATAAGTCTGCTCTTCTGCGGCTGCCCTAGCTTGTCGTCCGCCGGGAATGCTGCGGGAAGAACCCCGTTGGAAGACAATTTTCTGACAATCTTGAACAGTGTCGAAGCACCATTCTTGGGACTTCAACGCCGCGAACCTCTTGTACTGTTAAGACCGGACGATCCCAAATCGTGCGAGAACGCCCTTTGTGGAACGTCAGCACCGCACATCAACAACGTGACTGTCGCGCCCTGACATTCCGAAGCCTTGCCTGGACACCAATTTTGGGACGTGAATCGTAAGAATACGTGGGATTGCTGCAAACTGTTAAGACACATGTGCGTGGCGCTAAGACGAGAGCCACATATTGGAAAGGAGCCGCCTTCCATCCGTGAAGCTCTGGCAACATGGTAGGCCGAATGTGCGTGGCGCTCCCACGAGAACCGCATCTTCAAGACCAGCCGCTCTCCATCCACGGAGCTGCTGGAAATACCATGCTCCAGGCTCATGAGTGGTGAGGAAGTCTCGGGGGAGACGCCCGGCCCGCTCTGCCGACCCGTCTCGGGGGTGCGACACGGAGGAGTCACTTGGTAGGGAAGAGGGATGGGGGAGGAGGAGGAGGGGGGACGGAAGAGCAGCCGCTCGGAGGGCCTCCCCGTCCCACCTCTCCCTGTTCCCCCCCCCCCCTTCCCCCAGACCTCCGACGGTTCGAGGCCTCGGAGTCGCCAGCCCCCGGTGCTTTCGGCCCCCCCTCCCAGGGCCGGCTTTTCGTGTTGCGCTTCGTTTCTGATGGCCCTGGGGCTCGGGGGCGGCCTCTGCACACCGAGAGTTGCGGAAAGCCTCTGTTGGGTTTTCGAGGTCGCTCCTGGAGGCCTGGGCCTGGAACTCTCGTGCAGGACTCCTCTGAGGAGGTCCCTGGGCGCCCCCACTCCCCTGGAGGCCTCCGCAGGCTGCTGGATGCCTCCGGGTGTCCGAAGAGTGGCCCTAAAGCGGGCTCAAAACCGCGATCTCGCTCTCCCCTCGCCTCTTGCCCTTCCCTGTTCGACCCCTCGATCCTCGGTTATCGTTCCTCTCCGATCCTCGATTCTCCTGCCCCTCCTCTTCGCCTGCTTGCTCCTTGTCTACCCCCCCGGTAAAGTACCCATCGCTGGCCAGGCGGTGCTGCGTTACACGCCGCGGGTTGCGTCGCAGTGGTGATGCGCAGTTTTGGCGGACGGCGCAGTCAGTCATCGTCGCCTTGTGGATGCGGGAGAAGCGCTCTCATCGCCTGGTCTTGGACCCAGCATGGCCTCTTCTGTGGAACTCTTGAGTCCAGCATGGCCTCACGAGGGGCGTCGGCGGTGCGGGCGCATGTGGACAAAATACCGTCACTTGGACAGATATCGATGCCGTTCTAGCAGACACCCGGAGAGGCGCACCGCAGCAGCACAGCCGAACGCGCTGGCTTGCCGTTATTCCTTGTGTGCTTGCGCACGCGGCTGCTTACTTTTTGTGAGGCTTTATCCCTCGATCCGTTTTTGATCCTCCAGCCTCGATCCTGTGTCCTCCTCGATGGTCGATCTTCGATCCTCATCCATCCTCCTCGATTCTAGACCCTCGAGTCTCGATCCATCTCCATCCTCGATCCTCAAGTCTCAATCCATCTCCATCCTCGACTCCCTGAAGGCCCACTGCACAGTGTGCTCTTAGCGATGTGTCCTGCTCGAGGCCTTCCCCGTACTTGCACAGTCGCCACGAAACAGACAGCCTGGGCTTGAGAATTTGATAGTTATGCTCTCGATCCTTCACCCTTTCCCGATCCTCGGTCCTCGACCCCCCGTCCTCCATCCTCGACCCCTCCGCGTCTGGCCCGATCCTCGATCCTCCTGCATCCCGCATCCTGGATCCTGGATCCTCGACCCTCGACCCTCGATCCTGCTCCGCCCGTCGACCCGCCGTCCTCCTCGACCTCCCGCCCTCCCCCTCCCCGACCCCCTCGCTCCTCGACCCCTCCGCGCCGCCGCGGGGCCGCGCCTCCCCGAGGAGTCGGTGGCTCCGCCTGCGAGGCGGCGGAGGCGGCGGCGAAGTCGGCGGCCAGGCAGCGGGCGCGCCGGGCGAGGCTCCAGGAGCGGCCGCGGCCCCCTGCAGGGGGAGGGGAGCGGGGGATGGGGGGGGGGGGGAGGGGCTGCCGTGGGGAGGAGGGGAGGGGGGGAGGGAGGCGGTGCTGCTGCCCGCAGTCGTGCCGTCTCGCCTCTGTCTCGAGCGGGCTCTCGCGGTCGCAGTCGAGACCGCGCCCCGCGAGAGCGAACCCTGAGAAGAGGCAAGCAGGCAAGCAAAATGCTGAGCACGAAGCGCACGTGGGCACATAGCCACTATCACGTGGTATCGCAATACTTGCTGACCGCGCGCGCCACGCCGTGGCCGAAGAACTGGTGTCCTGCCAGGGCGCCGGAAGGGCGTCCACACTCCCAGCTGCTTCGCAGGCGTGCCTGTAAACGGAAGCTTCCTGGGGCCACGTTGCTCGTGATCGCCCTCTCTTTCTCTTGAGGGGGGAGGAGGAGGGAGGAAAAGGGCTGGAACACTGCGCAACGCACAGCGTCGTCATCTGGCTTCCTGGTGATGTGACCAAGAAGCAGCTGTCTACGGAGGAGCGTGCTGCTGAGCGGGCGGGCGCCAGCCCGTTGAAGCACGGTTTCGTTCGAGATTCTGCTGATGTACGAGTGGGGAATACGCAACAATTTGCGCAGGCATCGCGCCTGGAATGCGTCCGAACGACACATTTCGTGCTTGTTAAGATACGAAGTGTGCAAACAGTACAACAGCTTACGTAAAGCGCAAGACACAAACATCTGAATCTTCTTCCGCTGCGTGAGAGTCGAATGGCTCCATCCCTGGCCAATTTGTCAAAATCTGCGCCTGCAGCTCCTAGGCGGCGCGACAACTCTGAACCTATTTTGCCATCGTCGCTAATCAAACTACCTAAATATACTATGCTTCCCTTCTGTGGGATTGGGGTGCCGTCCGGCTGGAGAATGCACACGTCGGCTGCGACAGCCAAGGCCCCTGGCTTGCGCCAAGTAAGCTGTAAACAGTACTGTTGCCCCAGACGTTGTACGGCATGCATGTGCGCACCGGCTGATTCGCTGGAGGTGGCTAGCAAAAGTGTGTCCTCTGCGTACACAACCTGGTTCACATGCATGCTCTGATTCAGATAAGAATCCGCCTCTCGTTTTGCATCGCGCAACAATGTGGTCATCAATATTGGGAATAATAATGGAGAGAGCGGACAACCCTGACTGATGCCGAACGTTTGTGGATGTTCTTCCGATGTTTTTTCCAGAGTCGTGGACAGAACAATTACGATCTGTGTATATGGCGCGCACAACTTGTATGAAATTGGTGGGAACGCCGAACCGCTCCCACGAGAGGCATAACGCATCGGGCGACACACTGACAAATGCCTTAGCCCAGTCCAAAGCCAGCAAAACTAGGCGCCCGCTTTTTTCTGCCCAAATGCGTTCAAGCAACCGCCGAACGAGGAAGATCGCGTCCGCTGTCCCGTGCTTGCTCTTGAAACAGAACTGGGTGCTCCAAACTCTCTGTTCAGCACCAGCTGCCTTCAGACGATTCAAAAGAATTGTCGCGAACATTTTATACCCAATCGAAATCAAACTAATCGGGCGATAATTTTCACAGTTTGCAACAGAACCTTTTTTGGAGATAGCCGTGACCAGCGCCTTGTGCCAGGCGTCAGGGACCACACGTTCTTCCCAGCACTTTTTGCACAATGACACCGCCCACCTGCAGGCAGGGGCCCCTGGAGTGCAAATCGATTTCCAGACCTCGCCTGGAACTCCGTCTGCGCCCGCGGCCTTTCCCCTCTTCACTTTGGCAGCCGCTGCCAACACCTCGTCTTCGGTGATGGGATCACTTTTTTTGATCCGCGGGTCGAGAGCGAGCCTCTCCCAGGTGATGGGATCACACGACGCAGGTAATGTAGGACCCAAGCTGTCTGTGAATTCGGCGACTGTCTTCGGCCGAACAGCCCATTGAACTTGGGCGAGATACTGTGCCAGAGTGTCGGCGCGCTGGTCCGAGTCCACGATTTCTCCGCTCGAGTTCGCGAGCCGGCCTTGCTTCGAGGCTGCGCCTTTCCGGAGCTGCAGGATCGGCGCCCGCTCCCCGTGGCGAGGCTGCTCTCCAACCACTGCGACCTGTCTGATTTCACAGATGCCCGGACCTGCCTGGCGAGCTCGGACTCCTCCTCATGCGACCGATGAGCGCAAGGGTGCCCGACGAGATCCGGGGCCTCCTGGGCAGCAGCTTCGTCTCAGGAAGAACGCGGTCGGCGGCGAAGGAGAATGCTTGCAGCATCCGTTCATTCAAATGCTGGGCGGACTCGACGACGGCATCGTCGCCCTCCGAGCCCATCTGCTCGCAAAAGGCTTCGGCAAATGAATTCGCAACGCTCTTGTCCCGCAGAACAGAATGGTCTTTCCGCTTCTTGCCAGCCCTCGGCTCTGTCTGGGGGATGTCGATCAAGACGCGGGCTTGCACAAGGAAGTGGTGCGATGCCAACGCTGTGGCGCGGTCGCTCCAGACGCGTTGCACCGAACCTTTCCACTCCGAGCTGATGAGAAATACATCAAGTTGGCCGCATGTTGCTCTGTGGGAGGGTCTGCGGGAGATGAGCCAATGCCATAATAGGTGACCCTGAGAAGAGGAGGATTTTTTTGTTGGATTGCACGCGTGTTGAACCATCCGGCTGTCACGTAAGGGCGGCGCTGCAGATAGCAGAGTTTTCATCAAAGTCATCTGCACGGGCACCAAATGAGCAAGTTCAGAGCAGTAAGTCCCTCCGACCCAACCCGAGAAGAGGAGGGAGGAGGGAGAGGGAGGTCCGCAGCGGTGTTGGCCCAGTGCTGAGCGGATTGAAGTTACGCGGTAGCGAGGCAGCCTGATTAGCCTTCCGCGGGTCGGTCAGGGCGCCGCAGAGGGGCCCGCCAGCGTTGCCGCTGGCGCCATTTCGCGAGGGGCAGTTCTTCGTCCCCAGATCCATTCGTGGTGATCCCGGGGCCCGAAGACGGCCCCCAGAGGTCGAAACGGATGAAAATGCCTGGATTGGGGAACCAGTCTGCCCGAAATCTGGTCGAGGGCGACGATGGGGACAAATAGCCCTAGGGGAGAGCAATACGTGTATCCAGGGGCGCCGATGGTCCATACCTTCGGCGAGGCTCCCGGGCGAACACTTGTAATGCCCGCCCCTGGGCTATTCGCCCTTGTCGTCGCCCCCGATCTGGGGGGTCCCCTCCACCTCGCCCCCTGCCGCTCCCGGCTTGGCCGTCGAAGCCGCTCCCGTCCTTCGGGGCCGACGTGGCCGAGATGCCCGTCGCCGCGCGCGCGTGCTGCCACGCTCGTGCCCGCCCCGTCCGCGCCTGCGTGCCCCCCCGAGGGTCGAGGGTCGATGGTCGAGGATCGAGGGTCGAGGGTCGAGGGTCAAGGGTCGAAGATCGAGGATCGAGGCTCGAGGATCGAGGGTCGAGGGTCGAGCATCGAGGATCGAGGATCGAGGGGTCGATGGTGGATGATCGAGGATCGAGGGTCAAGGATCGAAGATGTGAAGATCTCTGGCGACCCACACCTTCGACGCCGCTTTTCTTGAGCCCTTGCGTGTTGTGCCGATTCTGGGCTCTGGGGGTACCTCAAGAGAATAATGCCCTGGGTTGAGAGATCGACAAGTCGTGACCTTCTCGTGCTCCTCGGGTCCTTCTTGTTATCCTCCCGTTTCTGGCGCACGTTTGTTCGGCTCAAGAGCGCTGATCGCGGTGGTCCCTCTCGCACCGCGCCAGATATGACAGACTACTCTCGTAACCCCTTTACCTCGCACGCTGGCGTGCTTCCTGACGTGCACTCCCATGCGTCTGTGTCCCTGGCCTCCGAAAGAAAAGAGGAGGAGGCGAGCACGCTCGAAGCCAGGTGCCGAGAGCTCGGCTGCATTGCTTATACGTGCCAGGGCGACTTCAAGGTGCGCCTGGACAGCCCCAGCACGTGGAGGTCAGACGCGGCCCCAGGGCGCGACAACACGACGGGCGACTCGGAGACCCCCATCCGTGTGCTCGAATCGAGACCGCCATGGCACTTGGTAGACCTTTTCTACACGTTCTCAGAGGACGTGCCCCTGCAGGAGTTCCGCATCGATGTCGAGATCTGCCAGGACGTGCCCGAACATCTCAGCCTGTACGTGTGCGGCTTCGGGGGGTGGTCGAACCTCGGCGATTTCTACGGAGGCCTGCAGACAAAGGTCGGCTGCCCAGCGTCTTCAGTTGATGTGGAGACAGGCGGTGCTTCACACCAAACTGCTGTATCTCCGGGTCCAGGTGCGATCTTCAGCCACTGGGGCCTAATGCGTCTCTCTGATGTACGTTGCCCGCCACAGTCCTTTTGCGAGGCGGGTGGTTACGAGGGGAAATTTGTCAGCGTTCGGCGCCACATGCCTGTGATGCGCAAGGGGAAGTACACACTGTGCCTCACGCCAGAGCGCGTGAATTCGTCGTTGTGGGTCGAGTACACTGTGAATGGCGAGTGCGTGGGCGCCCTGCGCTTTCTGCAGGATGACGAAACTAGGTCCACTGAGTTGTTCTTGGGCAAAGAGCTCTACTCTTTTGTCGAGTTGTATGATGGCCGTTGCCCAGTCTATGCTGACGAGATGCCGTCCCTAGATCTGGTGTTCTCGAACATTCGCTTCAATGGGACACCGATTCGCCCTGCGCAGGTGGATGCCATGTTTTACAAAGGCTGCCCCCTCTATGCGAGCGTATGTGGGGAAGGTAGCTCGGAGGACTGGTCCATTAAAGTTCACGTCGGTCCGCCGTACACGCAGCATACATACGATAGAAAGAACGACCTGCTCAGGTCTGCGCCCGTGTAGCTAGAGGAGTTTCATGATTTTGAGCAGGTTTGGGGGGCATATGCCCAGTGAGCAAGCGACGTTCTGGCCAGCCTAGCTCGCCAGGTTCGGCCCAGACCAAGGAGCTGGCCCGCGGCGCTGCGCTTTGGGGTGGGCGGGTCGCGGTTGAGCAAGTGAAGACCGCAGTCCAGATCTGGAGGACGTTCAGGGTTTTCGCCCGCGGAGCAGTAAAAAAACAAGAGAGATCTGTCCATCGTCCGAGTGCGAGGCTGGCTGCGGAGCTGTAGTTCGCGAGGGAGTGCGCGTTCGTGCTCCAGAAGGAAGGTGCGGCCAGGAGGCGGGGCCTCGCGAACAAGTTCCTGCCGGACTTTGGGCGAGGCGCAGCTGTTGCCCTCACGCATCGCATCAGCTGTAAGACGGGGGCTGAAACAAAGGTTCAACCCAGCTGTAAGAGGAGCTATTTGGTAAGCAAATTTTTATTGTTGAGTCCGAGGGGGTGAAGCCCTCGGGCGAGAGGGGGGCCTGCCAGCCATTCGTACGGACAGGGTGCCTGTGGTTGCCCAAAAGCCGGGCATGTGCAGATGCATTCTCGTGGCCGCTTGCAGCGCTTCTTGAGAGCTCTGCGATCGTCCACTTGCGTGCAGTTCGGATTGGGTCGTACAGACGCGCATGAGTAAGTGTTTGTGGTAAGTGCCGACGGTTTCCCGTGAGTGTGTGTGAGAGAGTAGTTCGTCGAGGATCAAGCGATGATGTGGCGTCACCCGATCCATTCCATGAGAGAGCAGCCGATATCTTCCCAGAGTCGGGTACCTCGCACAGGTGAGTTCCCTGTCACTATTTCTGTCAGCAGTGTCCAGCAGAAGCGCCCAAGGGTGGGGGGCTACCATCCATGTCAGCCCCCATTTTCCCGGGCTTCTGCCTATCTCATCGTCCCAGCAACAGCATGCACCGTGCGATGGGCACCACGGCCTGAGACATAATACAGCCGTTGAAAAAGGTGAGGCAAGCAACACGATTCCTCTATCGTCGCCCTCCATTGCCACCCTCTTCTCCTCTCACTTCCTCCGCCGCTTCTTTGGTGCACCTCGGGGAGACGGGGCGCGAGGAGCGAGCTATCGCAGCCGAGATGGAGGAGTTCGACCGCGAACAGGCGCGATCCGAGCTGGAGGTGCCGCGAGCCGATGGGGAGGATGGCTTCACGGGAAGGCAGACATCCAGGGTGCCGAAAAGGGTACCAGAGCAGATGGGGTCCGAGGATCGCGAAGGAACGCCGATCCATCGGCAATGCTGCGCTATCTGGGTTCCAATTTTCTCGCGACGTCGCCGATGAGTCGCCGATGCATCGCTGATGCAGTGCGGTCCTCCGACTTCTTTTGCTCACGCCCCGCTTTGGAGAGCTTCGGAGGAGGTGAGCGGGCTAGGTGAATAGGGAGAGGAGGCAGCGGGGATGGGTGAAGGCGGGTGGCAGGTTCCCTGGCAGAAGACCGCGCGCCGTTAGTTGGAGGCGGGAGGGCAAAACTGACGGAAGGAGTCGGTTGCTTCGTCAGGTGGACCGCAGCCTTTTTTGAAGGCAACGCAGTGGAAGGCGAGGGCGCTGAGGTACAGAATTCATGCCACCGCTTGTATTCATGCCAGCACCCAAGGCACGCGTAACCATGTCAGGTTGCGCTGCCGCGCGACTCCGCCACCGCCATCGGGGGGGGGGCGCCTGGGAGTGGGTGGTGGGAGGCTGGGCGGTGGTGGGCTGGTAGGTGGCATGAAACTTGCGAGCGCCAGTTTGTTTTGTGTGTTGGTTTGGAAGGCAAGCGGCGCACGGATCTGGTCAGACATATGAGCGCATCTTGGGCACTATGCTTGTGGAGGACGATCAATGGAGAGGAAGCATGCTGCCAAATAATTTCCAGATGTCTAAAGCATGTGTTAACCATGTTTCAAACATGTACCACAACGCTATGTGCGGGCCCGTGATACACACCAGCCGCTGCAAGCGCGGTAGCGGATGGTCCCATTTGGGAGACATGTGTCTCTGATCTTTATTTGTGATTTTGCACTTGACGTTGTCAGTGCGAGCACCACCCCATCGCATTCGTGTCATGGCCCACGGCGTGGCGGCGCAGGCCTAACGTTTCCTGAGTCCTCAGTCGGCGAAGGTATGTGTCCCTGATTGTCATACATACGTCGAGGCCGCATGTCCACGCAGACCTGAATCGGGGATAATCTCAAGGGCTGCTCGCGTTTCTGCGATTCCACTTCGGTCCTCCCGCGATGCTGGCTCGGGGAAACGGGTGAAGCGGCGACGGGCAGGCAGGGCTTTGAGAACGGGCTTCCCTGTTCGACTTACCCGAGTTTCTGGCTCGTGTCTCCATCGAGCCCTCTGGCCAATTCCTCCTCCTTCCTTCCTCTTCCCTCGTCACCCCCCCTCCTTCTCCTCCTCACATCGCCCAACCACCGCTCTGTCACAGAGCCTCTCTGCGCCACGTTCCGCCTCCTCCTCCTCCTCTTCCTCCTCCTCTTACTCTCTGCGCTGCAGGCGGGTAGTTACGACAATTCGGACTTCGAGCGGCATGCGTGCACGCGCAGCACAACACGCAGCAGGGCCGACATGTTCCGACCTTCAATCCCTAGCGCGCGGAGCAGACGATCAGCAGGCAACGAGGTGCAACTTACCTGGTTCAGCTGCTGCTTTACTTAGTGTAGGCCAGCTGTGAGTAATAAACTTTCCTCCTCCCTCCTTCCTCCTCGCTGACCCGTGTCTCTCTCTCTCTCTCTCTTTCCTTCTCCTTCTCTCTGTCCATCTCCCTCTCTCTGTAATCTCGGCTCGAGCTCTGCTCATGGCGAGCCCAGACGCCAAGCGCCTCGCATCTGTTCTCGCGAGGCGAGACCGGACACGACCCAGGTCGTGACATGTTGGCGCGTCGCATCCCATTTCTGGTTCTCGCGCTCGCCGCAATGGTTCCAGAGAGCCGTCGCCGTGAGCTTCATATACCGCCGCACACCAAGCCATCAGTCAAGGGCCTCCCAAAGAGAACCTTAACGAATCGGCAGGATACCAACCTCAGCCGACAGAAAGCCTGCGTCGCCGCACTCCAGAGCATTGGTGGCGTCGACCGAACAATCGCTACTTACAACGAACTGGTGCACAAACATCAGCAAGATCTTGGCAACATCTGTCGACAACACTGCTCTGACCAGCGCGAGCTCAGGGGCGAACTGACGAATCTGCGAGGAGCACTCAGCTACATCGTGCTCTGCCGCTCTCAGAAGCATGAGACGGGCACCATTCGTGACTCAGAAGAGCCCGCAGCCTCGGCCGACGCCCACCAGGGAGGGCAATGGCACCGCCCCTCTCGCCAGCACTGCTGCGCCACACTGCAACGTCCCGACCGCGCCTCCGCTCCCCAGGGCCGCTCACGAGATTTCGCATACCGCTAGCATCCGTCGACACTCCACCAGGGCCAAGACACTCACCGAGGATCCTTGGAATTCCGTGGTCATCTACCCGTTACTTCGGAAGGGGCAACCGACACCAGAGGACCATTAAACCGCTGCGGCCACTGCCAAACCGTACGGGTACACCCACCTGGGTGGAGTTCAGCGCGGACGCAGGCGAGGCCATTGAGGCACCCGCGGCAGGGCAGCTCGCTAGGTCCACCATGACCGAAACGCTGCCCGATCCCACAGGCCCAGTCCCCGTTCCCGTTCCTCCATTCATCCAGGGAGGCACCGAGGTAACGATCGCCAGCCAGGTAAAGAACCCATGCACAGCCAACACGGCACCGTCATCAGAGGCATGGGGGACCAGAGTCAGTACTGGGTGGCAGCGTTGACCAACGGCAACACTGCCACCCTGCTCATTTGAAGTCTGAACTTCGGCTCCCAACACCCGTCGGGAGGGGGTAGCGCTGCCTCAACGTCGGGGTCCTGGCAAGCAGAGACGACAATCTCACTGAGGGCGGGTTCCACGGTGGCGACACCAGACCCGCCTGCGCACGCGCGGAAACGCGGGCCAAGGCCTAAGTGTGAACCTCCGTTGCCAGCAGGAGCACTTGCGACTGCGGCGCCGACTGATCCTTGGGACTCCGTGGTCGTCTTCCCGGCTGTCTCCTCGGTGCCCGTTGCCCCGCGCATCCATGGAAGCGCCGAAGTAACGCGGAAACCCTTGGCAGGGCCTGGACGCAAACCTCTGATGCTAGTAGGAGCACCAACGACTGCAGCACCGACGGGCCACGCACTCCTTGAAGCTCAGCTCGCGGCAGCGGAAGCGCTATTACAAGATCCGTAAACGCCGACGCGGGCTGCGAACCCCCGTCGGGCTACCCCTACCCGTTATCTCGGAGGGTGATGCCGAGGACGCCCCGCAAGAGCTCGTGGGTATGACCTCTCGCGAGCCCCTGGCCGTGAGGCGGCTGGGAAATGGTGCCGACGACGCTCCGTGCAGCGAGTGCGATGCCCCTGCGGATGGGCCCACCCCCCCCTCGACCCCAGTCTCGGCAGTGGTGCCGGGATCGTTCACGACATTGGGAATGATCTACGTCGCAGCTTGGTTTTTCGCACCGTCGTGGGGCAATCGACGGTCTCAGCTTGCATCGTCTCGCAAGGTTTCACATTGGAGTGACTTGACCACACTCCGCGGAACACCACTCCAGCGCGTACTTTCCAAAACCCAATTCGGGCGAGCAGGCGCCTTATCCTTTTCGCCCTCATGGTCGCGGCCAGCTCGCCAGAGCTCGCGCCCATGATTGCGACGAGCATTGCAATGAACAACGAGTCTGAGTGCGCCACGTGCAGAACAAAGTGCCAAGCCCTGCCCAGAATGATTGAGTCGATTACCGCGGGTACTGGCACCCCGACGGTGAGCAGAGCATCGGGGACAGCAACGGCCCGACCCTGGCGCCCACCAGCGGGATGAGTACCATCTCGAGTACCATGTTGCCAAGCTGCGCGACCAGGACCAGCAGCGCACCGCTGTGCAGCACGTCGGAGAGCACCCGCTCTACTCTAACGTGCATCGGTGGGATGAGCACTGCCTCGAGTACCACGTAGCCCTGCAGCGCGACGGCCGCCAGCATTTCAACGAGCACTGTCTCAAGTACTGTGTCGCTGAACATTATGACTGGTTCTGGTAGCTTATCGTTGATGAGCGCGCCGGAGAGCAGCGGCCCGACCCTGACGTCCGCGTCGCTGAGTGGCATGACGGGTTCTATCACCTCGACGTGCAGCCGCGCGTCGGAGAGCAGCAGCTTGTCCCTGACGCTCACGGGAAAATCGAGTACTGCCTCGAGTACCGCGCCGTTGGCCACCACGGCGGGCTCCAGTAGCACGACGGGCAATAGCATCCCAATATTGAGTAGCACGTCGGCCAGCACCAGCCCAGACGTCCATGTGTGGGGCGAGTGCTGTCTCGACTGCCATGTCGCTGACCGCTGCGACATGTGCCAGCGGCGCATGGTTGAGCTGCGCGTCGGAAAGCAGTGTCTCGTCCCTGACGTCCACGAGGGGGGCGAGTACTGCCCTCAATGCCGCGTGCTGACCACTGCCTTGGGTGCTGCGTCGCTGACCACCGCGACAGATGCCAGCAGCGCGCGGCCGAGCAGCGCGTCGGCGAGCATCAGCTCGACCCCGACGTGCGCCAGCGGGGCAAGCGCTGCCCCAAGTATCATTTCGCTGAGCGACGCGACGGGCCCAAGCATCTCGACGTTGAGCAGCGCGTCGGTGAGAGAAGCGGCGGGCGCCAGCAGCGCAGCGCTGAACGGCGCGACTGGGGGCACCAGCGCCCCGACGCGCGCCGGCGGGGCGGGCGCTGCCGCGACCTCCCCGTCGCTGAGCATCGCGACGGACACAAGCGTCTCGACATGGGCCAGCAGTTCGTCGCAGGGCAGCAGGGGCACCCTGGCGCCCGCGAGCGGGGTGAGTGCTGTGTCAAGGGCCATGTCTCTGACCATCGCTGCGGGTGCCAGCGGGGCATGAATGAGCAGCGGCATTGGTCGGTCTGGTCGGTTTGGACCCCATGGTTTTCCTGGCCTCCTGTCTGTGCCCACTGGTTCTCCCGGCCTCTGGGGCCCGCATTGGCCCGCCGGGGATGGGGTGCCTGCGTCGGCCCATATCGACGAGCCGCGCTGGCGGATGCGAGGTTCGCCCTATTTCCACGAGCCGCATTGGATCACTGGGGGCAGGACGCGAGCTTCGCCCCGTTTCCGCGTGCCGCATTGGCCGACCACGGCTGGGGCGTGAGCTTTAACTGGCACGTCGGAGAGCACCCGCTCGACCCTGACGCGCGCTAGCGGGGTGAGCGCTGCCTCGAGCGCCGCGCCGCTGAGCAGCGCGACGGGCGCCGGCAGGAGACCGTCGCGCACCGCGTCGGAGTTCACCTGCTCGACCCTGACGGTTGCCAGTGGGGCGAGCGCCACCTCGCGTGCCGCGTCGCTGACCACCGCGACGAGCGCCGTTGAGCAGCGCGGCGGCGAGCGCCAGCTCCATCCTGGCGTGCGTCAGCGGTGCGAGCACTGCCTCAAGTACCGCGTCGCCGAGTTGTGCGACGTGTGTTAGCATTTTGATGTTGGGCAGCGCGTTGCTGACCGCAATCGTAATGGTGGGCGCTAATGGCGCATCGCTGAGCGGCGCGACCGGGCGCGCCGGCGCCCTGGCGTGCGCCGGCGTGCTCCGGCGTTGCTTCGAGTGCCGCGCTGCTGAGCTTCGCGACCGGCACTGGCATCTCGACGTTCAGCATCGTGTCGGCGAGCAGCAGCTCGACCCCCGAGCTCGTGGGTGGGGCGAATATTGTCTCGAGTGCAATGTCGCTGACCACCGCTACGGGCGCCAGCTGCGCATCGTCGAGCAGCGCGATTGGGGGGGCGGATTGACCCTGACGGCCGCGAGTTGGACAAGTACCGCCTCGAGTATTGCCTTGAGTGCGAATGGGTTCATGGCCCAGTATTTCCGTGATGCGCATTGGCCCACTGGGGGTGGGGTGCGTACATCGTTTTCATCCCACGAGCCGCATTGGCTCACTGGAGGTGGGATGCGAGCTTCGTCTTATCTCCATGAGCCGCATTGGCCCACGGGGGGTGGGGAGCTCCGCCCTATTTCCACATGCAGCATTGGAGCAGGGTTAGGATGCGAGCTTCGGCCAGCACGTCGGCCAGCGCCAGCTCGACCTTGACGTGCAAAGGGCACAGACCGCCTGAATCGCCCTTCATCGGGTCCAATCGCCCGCTTGCTTCGGGCGTCTACCCAGGCAAGCGACCAGGCGCATCTAGATGCCCGCCTGTAGCACACCAGTGCTACCCTCCCGTTCTGAACGAGCTCCGCGAACTCTTGGCATCTCGTCCGTAGCTCTAATGAGTTGGGCCGCTGCAGGGGATGCCGCAAGGCGGTGCCGTTCACTTTTCCCATGCCTCGCATCGTGCACGCGAACGCGCATGTAAAGGCGGCGCTCTGCCACGGGTGCGCAGACGGGCCCATGAGCGGCCTGGTTACTGCATGCCCGCTTTTCTTTCCAGCTGGGGCTCCCTATGAGCTTCACCAGGGGGAGGGGGGGGTCATGCTAGCGCCCCTGTTTCGTATGCGGCACTCCCTGCCTTGTCTGGTAAGCCTGCGTGCGGGGCGCTTGTAGCTTTAGGGCCCGGACGAACCCTCGTCCGAAGTGGTGCGCATCTCTCTCTCTCTCTGTCTCTCTCTCTCTCTCTTTCTCGCTCTTCGCTGCTCTCTCCGCGCCACTGTCCCACGCTTCTCGCTCCTCGCCCTTCGCTGCTAGATCCTTTCCCTGCGTTCTCTTCGCTCCTCGGCCTTCGCTCTTCGCTCCCATCTCCTATCTCTCATCCTCTGTATACTATCTCAGGCTTTGTGTCCTCCATTGTTCTCTTGGCTACCCAGCCTCCTCACTCCAGGCTTCTCCTTCATCTAGTTCATTTCCTTATGCTTGCTAGCCGCCTCTCCCTTCTCCCTGTTCCTTTCTCCTCGCTGTCCCTCATGATTTCTTGTATGCTGTGCTGTAATCCCCATGCCCCTTTTTAGTTCTACCTCTCTTCACCGTCCCGTTTGCATGTCTTCCTCCCAGCTCTACCTCCCTGCCTTGCCCCCCCCCCTCTCCCTTCACCCTCACCTCCCCTTTTGCCCTCTTGGCTCCCCCCTCCCCTGTCTCTCCTCATCCCTTCTATTTCCCGCCCTGTCCTCCTCCCTTGTCCATCCATCCTCTCCTGCACTCTATCCATCCTCCCTCCTTCTTCCTTGCCGTATCCTTCCTCCTCCCTGGGCTCCCCTGTTTGCACTCCCCGTTCTCCCTCATCTCTTCTCGCCCTTCCCTCCTTCCTCCTTCCTCCTTTCCGTACTGTCGTTTATCGCGCTTCGTGCTTCGTGCCGTCCGCCGCGCCCTCGTTTCTGTGAGTTGGGCCGCCTGGGACTCTGGGCTGGGCCTCCCTTCGCCGGTAGGGTGGCGGTCGCAGCAAACGTACCCCCCCCGACTGTCGGGGTGAGAGCCTTCAGCAACACGGCGCGCAGACTTCGCAGTGTCGAGTCCGACAGGCGTTCATCCTTTTTCCTCTCTCCTCCCTCCGACCTCGTGCTCGTCGTCGTCGTCGTCGTCCCGAGTCCTCATTCCGATTCCGCGAGAGCCGCCTAAATCCCGCCTCGCCCCAGGCACGAGCCACCCGGGCGGTTGCCAGCAAGGCCGATCGCATGGCAGGCCCACGCTCCTCTTTTCGGCAGCGCGCGCGGCCAGTCCCTGGTGGATGGGGAAGAGGGGGAGGCGGAAAAGAAGGGGGAACGGGGAGGTCGAAGATGTGAAGGAGGATCAGTTGGATAATGCATGATACGATGATGACGACGGGGATGAAAAAGGGTTCTGCTAACGAGGATGACCACTATGTTGATGGCTCAAGGGCCAGCGAGTTTCCGCTGGCTCAAGTGCCCGCGCACAGGGCGCATTCAGGCTCTCTCCGCTCTCTCCGCTCTCGCCTTCTTCCCATGGCGGCGCGCTGCCGGGTTTGTATGGCCCGCGGAGTGGACAGCCTCGCCCTGCCGGGCGAGGACTTCTGCGCGGCGCACCGGCCGTTTGGCATGGACTCCGCCGGGGTGGCGGCCGCGGACCCAGCCGCCGCTGCTCCAGCTGCCGTGGCGGAGAGCATGGACACTGACGACGACACGGAGGGGTCAGGCCTCACCCAGGCTGCAGAGGCGCTGCAGCTGGCTGGAGCCCCGGTTGCACCTGGACTTGATCCCCCAGCAGCTGCCGGAGCGCACCCCGCCGGCATCGCCGCTGCTGCTGCCGCCTCGCCTGCCGCGCTGCCGTCCGCAGGTCAGCAGTCTGGTTCTCCCCAGCTCCTCCTATCCGTGCACGACTTCCAGGAGCTCCTTGAGGCGGAGGCCCTCCAGTACGTCGAGCTCGTCCAGGCGGGCAGGACGGCTTCCGAACAGCATCGTACCGCAGTGTCCTTCCCGGGAACTTGGCCGGACCTCAAGGCGATCTTGGGCAAGCTCGCCTACAGGCTGGACGACTCTGATCCTTGGGCGCAGCTGGGTTTCGGACCACTATGCGGCCCAGAACCTACGGAACGCGACATCCCTTGAGCCTCGGGGAAAGTGAGGCCTGGGCCGAGGCGGACCGGGTCCTGGCCAACCAGGCGGACGTGATGATCTCGGCGGCGGCAGCGCACTGCGAGGCTTGCCTGCCCGACGTCCGCATGGCTCGACGGCAGCTCCGCCCCGACCGCCTCCCGCAGTGGAAGGAGCTGGGAGGGGATGCGTTAGCAGCTATCCGGGCCCTGCCGGGCGCGGAAGGGCACGACTTCCTCACGCAATGGTCACAGGTCCTCGACCCGCGGGGCCGCCACGCCCCCACGGTCGAGCGTCACCGTCGGCTGTCGGACCTCCTGGAGAAGGGCGACGCCCGCTTCCTCCAGGAGATGAGGGGTCAGCAATTGTTGGCCTGGGCGCCCGCCGACACTGGGGCGTTGCAGCGGATCTTGTCACAGTTTCTGCGACGTGCCTCCACGGAGGCACCGACATCGATGTTGCTGATCACGCCACTTCCCTTCTTTCCTGGGGCGGCTACGATGACACAGATACTCGACTTGTGGCACCACCCTCTGCTCGGGGAGAAGCACGCGGCGATCGTCCAGGCCATCCATCTTCTTCCACAGCCGTTGGAGTACATCCTCCCCGGACTGCGTGGACCTCGCCATGTTCGGCAAGGATTGGCTTGCTTCCGCATCGCGCGCACGGGCCCGCGGAGCCCCCCGGCGATTGTCTTATCTCGGACCCCACTCCTGAAGACTACTGGCTCCGACAGTGTCACCATCGACACTCCGTTGAACCTCCTGCCGACCCTCATGTCCAAGTTGGCCACCTTGGAGGAGTTCCGGAGCAGTCCGATTCGAGACCCCACGCGTAGCATTGGCAGCACGAACGAGTCTCCCCGGACATCCGTGGAGCTACTCCTCCCACCAGCCCTATCGCAGCTTGGCAAGGAGCTCCTGGTCCGCAGGCTGCAGCGGTCGGTGCTTTCGCAAGGGATGCTTATCGGCCATCGGAGCTTGTACGTGGCAGAGGACGCCATGATCCTCGAGTGTCTCTCACCTGCGGTGATGCTGAAGGCCTGGCCGCTTTGCTCGGAGGCCCTTTTCCTCACCCCGAACAAGCTCCTGGTACGCACTGACGCTTCCGCAGAAACTTGGACTCAGTTGATGGACGGGCTCTGCCGAGAGGGGGAGCTGAGTCTCATCACGAAACTCCGTTGGAAGTCGAGCCGGTTTGGCGGGAGACCCTATGCCCTCCCATCTGCTACCTCGGCGGCATTGGCAGCCTCGCGCCGCCGCAAAGGTAAGACCAAGGGAGCGCCCCAGGCCACGGACTACATGACCGAGATACGCATCAATGGCGACTCATGCGCCACGTCATGCAGAGCACGGAGATCAATCTGAAGGCCTTTGACGGCATCGAGACCACGCCGTCGGGCTTCTGGAAGCACTTGGCCTCCTACGACCCCGCTTGCCCACCAGGCCGCGCCCGGCTGTACCTCGCCAACCACACGGAGGTGGGGAAAGTGCACGAGGCACTCCACGGCCAGGTATTGCAGGTGGGCGACGACTGGCTGGCCATCTCGGTCCATAACGACCTCCTCGACGCCAGCACTCTGGAGGGAAACGGGCCGAGGGCGCCTCCGGCGGTCCCCGGGCGCCCGTAATCAGAGCGGACCGCGCGTGCATGCCTGTTGGAATTCAAGTCTTTGAGTCTGGCGGATATTTTCGCTACGTGCTGGACCTCGTCATCTCCCTCCGCGACTCCCTTGGGCCGCCGGGCGAGGTGCACCAGATTTCGGCGATTGGCGATGGGCCGCCCAGCTCTCAGAGGACCGCACGTGCGTCACCACCCTCACGCTGCCCCTCTCCTCCTTCGTTCGAGTACCTGCCACATCACCCCCTGCCACGATTACGCCCACAGCTTCCTGCCCTACCACTCTGTCATCTTCATTGGCTGCACCCCTACAACGACAACACGGCCGTTCAGCTGCAACGAGACGTCCCCGTTCAGACCCTACGTCGGCAGGCCTTGTGGCGCGCTTTGCGTGGCACGCTGAGGGGCCATGCTGATCCGGGGACCTCCTCGGTGACCAGCCCATTGGGCCCCACCTTCGGCGCGGGCTGGGCGGGCGGTCGGCCCCCCCCACAGCAGGGCCAGTACCTCGGCAAGCTCTCCCTGACAATATGGAACACGCAGGCGCTGTTCGCCGCAGACGGTTTCCGCCACAGGGATAAGTCTCGACACGTGCACCGGCTCATGGCCACGCACGATGTGGGCGTCTGGTCCGAGAGCCATGGCACGGCCGACCGGGGCGCCCTCTGGCGCGAGCCTCCTGGCTGCACCTCGTGGTGGTCCCCAGGCCCCTCCTCCGGGACGGCTGGCGTTGGCATCACTGTCAAGACGGATTTCTTCAAGCTGTTCGCACGCCGGGTCCACTTCGAGATTATATTCCCTGGCCGCGCGGCGGTGCTGCGCCTCGACGGGGGCCAAGGCTCGCTGGACATCTACACGGTGTACTTCCACACGGGGGACTCCACGCCTGCTGAGGACGTCGTGGAGGCCGGCTTCGACCCAGCCCAGCGCGTCCCCTCCAACTTCGAGCTCCGCGAGGCGTTGCGGCATCGGCTGGCCCGCCGCCTCCGTCCCTGCGAGGAGGCTTTAAGCATCCTTGGGGGGGGCTTTCATCACGTACTCCGCCCGCCAGAGCGTGTCTGCATCTCCACGGGCGCAGCCACGGGCCATCGGGGCCACCGCGACGCCACCAGCTGGCGCACCTTGGTAGAGGTCCCCTACGGCATCCACGAGCTCTACCAGCCGGAACACACGTACGCGGCACCAGACACCAGAGCGCGGCTGGACCGCGTGTGCTGCAACCAGTACGACGTCGAGTACCTCGACAAGGCTTGCGCCTGCACCGCCCTGGCATGGTGCCCCGAGTTGTCCCGCCACCGCCCACTCAGCTTCCGGAAGTGCCCCGCGCAGCCGCGCGCAGACCGACCGGCGCCCCTCGGGGACCAGGCCCTCGAGCATCCAGATTTCCCCCGGCAGGTCACATTAGCTTGGCAGGAGCTCCTTCACAACAACCCCGACGCGCACGCCCTGACCCGGCTCCAGCTGCTGAAGCAGGCGATGCGCCAGGCGGAGCTGGCCCTGGCTTCCCAGGTGGGGTCCGCCCCCCCGGCGGAGCAGCTGGATGACCGCATCGGCGTGTGCATGAAATTCCTCAGGGCTTCGGAGGCCTGCAGTCCAGAACGTATTTCCCGATGCCTCGAGCGGTATCCGCTCTTGCGGGATATGGTCGCGAATCCTTACGACTTCACGTCCCCGCCGGGCCCTCGGCTTGCGCGGGTGCGTAGTCACGTGATGGAGTTGCAGCGGGATTTCACCATGCAGGAGCTGAACAGGCTGCACGAGGACCTCCGCGAGCTGGAGCCGGCCCAAGCAGCGCGCCGGCGGCGGCGGAACCAGCAGCTGGTCTGCAAGCTCGCGCCGGGCCGCAGCTGTCAGCACTTCGCGCTGGACGCGCCTACCGGGGAGGCGACGACGGACCCCCAGGAGATGCTCGGCATTCTTCGCGGCCATTGGTCCGAGGTCTTCCGCCGGAAGGACATGGACACGTCCCTGCTGGACACTTGGTTGCGAGAAGATGCGCAGCACCTCCCAGCCGACTACACCGACCACCTGCCCCACCTCGCTGTGCCGCGTCGTGCATTCCGGCAGGCGATCCGCAAGTCGGGGAACTCCGCACCGGGCCGGGATGGCATCCCCTTCAAAGCGTGGCGTAAGATAGTGGACTTAGCCACCGACGCCTTCCACGAAGCGTTCGAGGCGATGATCGCCCCCACAGGGCTCGACATGGTCCAGGAGGCGTGGCACGATTTCAACGAGAGTGTCATGGTATTCTTACCGAAGAAGCCCACTTCGACGCGAGCAGATGGCACCGCGGTCTACCCAGCAAGCAACATGCGGCCACTTAACCTTACCAATACCGACAACCGCATCCTCTGCAGCGCAGTGCGCCTGCACGTCGAGCCGCTGGTCGAGGCCGGAGTTTCTCCGGAACAGCGCGGCTTCCTGAGCGGGCGTTCCATGCTGGCCAACGTCATCGACGTCGAGGAGGAGATGCTGGCAGACGCGTACCTCGAGGAGTTCCCCCTGGCGGTCTTCCTGGACTTCGAGGCGGCGTTCCCGAGCCTCGACCAGACCTTCCTCCAGCGAGTCCTGGCGGAGCGGAGATGGCCCGTATGGTTCCGGCGGTTCGTGGCAATTCTTTACGCCAACAACTTTTGCCAGCTCTCCCTCTGTGGGTTTACAGACGCCGGCTTTGGCATTACCGCGGGGGTTCGACAGGGCTGCCCTCTATCTCCCCTGCTGTTCGCCATCATCTCGGACGTGGTGTTGCGACAAATTCGCCGCCTCTGCCCAGACGTGGTCCTTCGCGCGTGCGCGGGCGACATTGCTCTTGTCCTCCACCGGGGCCCCGCAGACTGCGAACTGCTAGAGCCGATCTTCTACGAATGCGGGCTTGTCTCTGGCCTTCGTCTACACTGTTGCAAATCCATCATTGTGCCGCTCTCCCTGCACACGCGCGAGCAGGTACGTGCTGCTGACGCCGCAGCGGCGACCCGGTGGGGCGCCTTCACCATCTCGAGCCACGCGAAGTACCTTGGCTATTGGCTGGGCCCCACCCGTGGGGCCCGCCTCTGGGATGAGGTGTTCAAGAAGATGCAGGACCGCGCGTGGACGTGGAACAAGATCGGCGGGGGCTTGCTCGTGACGCTGGCAGCGTGCCGAATGTACATCCTGCCTCTCGCGGGCTTTGCAGCGCAGCTGGACCAGTTACCCCCGCGCTGGCCGCGAACAGAGCAACGGCTCCTCACGACTCTCTTCCCTGGAGCCTGGGGCTGGGCCACCCCATGTCTTCTCCAGCACCTCTGGAGTTTGGGATTCGCTTCTGAGCTCCCCAGTGTGGAGGCCATGGCGCAGGGAGCCAAATGTCGTGTATTTCGCTGGGAAGACATCGCGCATGGCGGCCTGCGACTTACCCGTCGTGCTCGGCGTCTGCAGCGTGCCCGCTCCTCATCGGACCACTTGCAGCGCCTCGCCACCTGGGCCCATTGGTTCGACGGCAACTTCATCAGCACGGTCCTCGAGGCGCAGCTCCGGCTCGAAACGGTTGCGACGACCCAGGGGCTCTCCGTGGACTTGCTGCTGCAGGGTTCTGCCACCACCCCCACACCGAAGCAGCGATGGCAGTGCCGATGTGGAAAAATACTCGGCGCTCGTGACACAGTGGGTCTCTTCCGGCACCTGCGCCGCAGACTGGACCGGCTGCCCTTGCTCACTCTGCCGGGGCGCCGGGTGCAGCGCTTCGAAGCTACACTTTGCCGCCTTGGGCCAATGGTGCCGCCCTGCGTTTGGGCTGCTGTGCTCAAAGCGCTCTTGGATGGTTGGACAACCAAGCCAGCGTCGCCATGCTTCTTCGGCTGTCAGCATGGGCATGGCGACCTCCGACACTACGCCTACTGTCCCGTCGTGGCGCGGCTCTACCGTACACAGTTGTGCCTCCAGCAGGGCCCCCCGGCATCGCGGCTGGACGAGTTCCTATTGCTGGCCGAGGCGTCGCCACGCACGTTTGCCCTCCGCGCTCTCGGTCTGTACGCGACCTTCAGGGCCACCAACGCAGCACGGCACGGGCAAGCCTCCGCCACGGGCGCTTGGCCGCAGGCACTGGCAGACGGCGTGGCCTTCCGCGCCCCCCTGACCGAGCACTTCGCCAACCGGGCCCGCTAGGGCAGCAACGACACGCACAGCATCCACTACTCCAACGTCTGAGGGCGGTCGTGGCAATGCCTCTCTCTCCACCCGCCTCCCCGCCTCCCCTCCCTGCTCTTGTGGTGTACTCCCCCAAATCATCGCCTATTCTGTCCTTGTGTATGCTCCCCCCGAGCCCGGGGCCAGTGCAGTTTTTCCTCTCTCTAGTGCCGGTGGCTTCGCACGCGTGGTATCCTCGATAGCTCCCGGCATCCGCCGGACAACCATTAGGGTTGCGATCAGCTCTCTTCCCCCTCCCCCTTCCTCCCTCCTCTCTGCCCTCCCCCTCTTCCTCGCCTTCTTTTTGCAGGTGGGTCCGAGGCTTTGCTGAGGGTCCTTTGTCCGTCCCCTAGTGGGGTCGGAACTGCCCTCCCCCTCTTTCCTCTCCCTCTTCCTCCCTCCCTTCCTCCCCCTTTTTGTCTGGACTAATGAATCGTAATATGCTTCAGTGCGCTGTGCGTGCACTTGTTCAGCCTCGCCCTCTGTTCCGTAGGATTCGTGGTCGTTCATGGTCCCGGTCTGGGGACCTTAGGCTTCAGTTGTACACCACCGTTTCGTGAGTTTTCCATGTTATGTACGTGCTCGATGATACGAACCTGGGGCATTTCGTATCCGCCCTCCCTCTCCGCTCTCCTCCTCTCCCTCTCCTCCTCCCCTCTCCGCCTCGCCCTAGTGTGCATGATGTGGGAAGTACCAATGGCTGTCTAGGCCTTGGGGGGTACAGGCACATGGCACGCCCCGTTCCTCTGTTTCGGCGCAGCCGGCGTTAGAACTGTTAAAGCAGTTTCCGCCCAATCCGGCGTTAACAACTGTTGAATCAGTTTGCGCCCACTTCCGAATGCCACGGAGCCAACCTGCCAGGGCTCCCCTCTTCTTCCTCCTTCCTCCTCTCCTCCTCCTCCTCCTCCTCCTCCTCCTCTCTCTCGGCACTGTGTGTGCGTCCGTTCCCACACGCTTTGTGAGGAAGAGAACGGCTTTCAAGTGCAACCGGCATTCGCGTTACGACGGTGGTTCTTGAATCATGCGGCCCGCTCCCATCTTCTCCCTCCCCCCCAAAAAAACAAAAAAACAGAGGATGACCACTATGTTGATGCCGAGGGTGTGCAGAAGGTTCGATGGGATGGGTGGAGGACGAAAGGGAGGAGAGGATGAGCAGGAATGGCAACACCAGGGTTGGAGGCGAGAGGAGAGAGACGATATGAATGATGAAGGCGGTCATGATGAGGGTAAGGATGAGGATGGTACTTAGTTAGATCAGGGTATGCTGATGATGGTGTTGATGCTGCTGATGATGATAATGTTGATGATGCTGCTGCTGCTGATGATGATGCTGATGCTGATGCTGATGCTGATGCTGGTGCTGCTGCTGATGATGCTGCTGATGCTGGTGCTGATCCTGATGCTGATGACGACGACGACAACGACGACGACAATGATGATGATGATGATGATGATGGTGATGATGATGATGTCGATGATGACGATGGTGGTGGTAGTGGTAGTGGTGGTGGTGGTCTGGATGATGATGATGACGATGACGGTGATTATGATGATGAGGAGGATGATGATGCTGATGATAATGGTGGTGATGATGAACATGATGATGATGACGATAATGATGATGTCGATGACGATGATGATGCTGCTGCTGATGATGATGATGGTGATGATGATGATGATGATGATGATGATGATGATGGGGAGGCGGAGGAAAAGGATGATGATGATGATGATGATGATGATGACGATGTGATGGTGATCATGCTGATGATGCTGATAATGCTGATGATGATGATGATTATGCTGCTGTTGATGATGGAGATGCTTATGCTGCTGATGCTGATGATTCTGATGATGATGATGCTGTTGCTGATGATGATTATCATGCTGCTGCTGATGATGACTGAGATGATGGTGGTGGTGCTTGGTGATTTATGATGATGCTGGTGATGCTGATGATGATGATGCTGATGCTGCTGCTGATGATGATGATCATGATGTTGACGATGCTGTTAAGGCTGATGTTGTTGATGCTGGTGATGATGCTGATGATGATGCTGCCGATGCTGATGATGCTTATTATGATAATGATGATGCTGCTGATGATGATGATGCTGACGGCAATGATGATGAGGATGATGATGATTGCGATGATGATCAATATGATGATGATGCTGATGATGCTGGTAACGATCATGGTAATGATGATGAGAATGAGTTTGATGATGATGGTGATGCTGATTCTGATGATGATGATGATGATGATGAGGATGATGATGATGATGATGATGATGATGATGATGGTGATGATGATAATGATGATCGTGATGATGATGCTGGTGACAATGATGATGCTGCTGATGCTGCTGCTGCTGATGATGATGAGCAGGATCAGGAGGGTTACGAGTATGATGAGGAGGGCAGCTAGCAGGAGGATGCTGGCCACGATGTGGCTGCTGCAGCGGATGATGACGAGGCGAAGGAGGCGGAATATCGATACCAGGAATAGGGGTAGACGGGGCTCAGGTCGTTGTCGTCGTCGTCGCCAGTCCTCAGAAAATTGACGAGCGGGCGAAGAAAACAAATGTCGTAGTTAAGTCGATTCCCTTACCTTTTTCCTTCCCTGACGGGTGTGGGGTAGGGGAGGGGTAGGGGGGGATAGGGGGGGTCAAGACACCCTCCTAGATAGCAAGCCGTCTAGCTCACTCCCACTCGCCCTCCCAACACATAAGTAACACTCGAGCCTGAGCATATTCAGCGGTCGTCTTTGGATGGGCAGCTACAGGGAACCAAAACCGACCCCGTGTGTGCGACGCTGGGGCGAGGTGCGCCACGCGTGCCATGCGCGCCACGCGCGCCTGGCACCACTGGGGCTCGAGCGTGCCAGGCACGCCTGTGGTGCGCCAGATGCGCCACGTGCTCCGCGTGTGCCAGGTGTGCCGCATACTCCAGCCGCGCCAGGTGCGCCACGTTCGGGGCACGTGCTGAGTGTGTCAAATACGCCTGCGCACGTGACAGCACACATCGGGAAACATGTCGACCCCCACCATCCTTGTCGAAAACCAATGCCCGTCATTGTGTCTGGTGGGCCTGCGCACAGCAGGCCATACGCCATCACCCCCGCCGCCCTT